GGCAGATGCTTGATCATCTTGCTGCTTTGGAATCATTAGACTTTACAAACCTGGACTCTGGTAACATTTTCTTTCCTTACATTATGTTTTGGTTGCTGTCTCCCCCACCCGCCCCCCAAATATAGAATGTTAGTGAAGGTGGATAATTTTTCAAAACCACAACATCCTGATGTGACTTTTAAAGGGGCTGCAAGGACCCACTTCTCAACTTACTCGACAAGAACTCTATCTATCTATCTACTGTATCTATCTATCTGTCTGTCTGTCTGTCTATCTGTCTATCTATCTGTCTATCTATCTATCTATCTGTCTATCTATCTATCGATCAATTGATCAATCGATTTATTTGATTTATTTGATTTATTTGATTTATACCCCGCCCATCTGGTCTAAAAGACCACTCTAGGAGGCTTGTTGTGATTTGTTTTTTGTTTGTTTGTTTAAAAAAACAATTCATAAGAAAGATGCCCAATCCCACTTGATTTCAGTGGGAAGCCACGCCCATAACTTAATTATTAAAGAGTGGTGCACTGGTTAAACTGCAGTAATGTAGCCAAAGCTCTGCTCTCAACCCGGATTCAATCCCAGATAGCTGTCTCAAGGTTGACGGAGGTTTCCATCCTTCTGAGGTCTGTAAAAGGAGTCCCCAGCTCACAAGGGGCAGCAATATGTAGCCTGCATAATTAAATTGTAAACCACCCAGAGAGTGCTTTAAATGCTATAGGGTAGTATATAAACAGCATACTTTGCTTTTGCTTTGCTTTATTAAATGCCTCATATGCAGAGGTCCTCACCTTGCTTTTTGCTAGTTCTTCTCGGCCTCCAGGCACAGAATCCACATTCAATAACTACCTTAATAGGATTAGGGGCATTCTGGAGGCAACGACAGAGGTGCACAGATGTACTGTATTCCATTGACTTAAAACTTTTATGAACAGTTTGGGAAGGGAAGACACTGATAGGAAGTCAGAACCAATCTTTTTTTTTCTTGTCCAGCTCTGCAGAGTCCCATCCTGGTTTGGAGGTGGGTAGGCTGTAGCTACTAATAAAGAGGCTACTTCTTTTTGGTGTCTCTTTCATTAAATACCCTAGTCAATGTAGTGTATTAGACAAGAACTTGGGAGATACAGTTTCAAGATCCCACTTGGCCATGAAATTCAATGGCTGAAATCCTGTTGCACAGCATAGTAGGTGACAATTAGAATAGGTCCATTAAATCAGTGATTTGGTTAGTCAACTCCTCCATAAATTCCATCGATTCAAAGGGGCTACCCTTGCTGTCACTTACTATGTTAAGTGACAAGATATCAGCCATTGGGTTATCTTGGATGTTACCCTTCTGCCTCCAGGAGCTGATCCCTTGCTTTTTCTATTTTCATCCCTGTAGAAAAAAAATATTCTTTGTTTTCTATTTTCATCCCTGTAGAAAAAAATATTCTTTGGGAAAAAAAAAAGAATATGGCAAGGTGTTCCTGGTGTGACCAATTGATGAATCATCTAGAACTGTTCTCTGATGGCTACTGCCCTGTGCCTTTATTCATCAGTAGGCTCAATATATAATGATCTCTTTCAGGGCTTTGAAACATTAGACTTTGGGGCTAGAATCCCCAATACCATCATTGTGGCCTCGCTGGTGTAGGATTCTGATAGTTTTAGTCCCTGTAAGCCACTTTTCCGAGTGCTCCTCTCTTTCTGATCTTCTGTATTCAAGAGTGAACACAGTGGCAGATATCTCCATTAGTGTTTCTTGAAGATCTATGAATATTTATCGTTAGCCTCCCACGGTATTCATTGCTTATTCTCAAAGCATACTGACTCTGCTAGAAAATCTGCTCAGATGGACAAATCAGATTTTTAAAGAAACCACCAGGTTACCAACAGTGGTCATAAGGCAAAGGGGATAGAATTAAATTACTTTTGCCTCTAGTGGTTTTTTGAGGGAGACATGGTTAAATATAGAGGATTGTGCTTGGAATAAATAACAAAGCTGGGCAACAGTTGCTGTAGGAAGCTGCCTTCTGCCAGAAGAGACTTTTTCTCCGTCTTTCACAGTACTGTCTATTCCAGTGGCTGTTCACCGTTGTTCATCCAGATGTTCTTAATGATAACTCTCAGATCTGTTGACCACTGGCTGTGCAAGCTAGGCCTTCTGGAAGTTGACATCCAAAACATCTAATGGGATGCTGGGAACTGCTGACACATTCCAACCAGCAGCAGCTATGTAGGGCAGGGATTGCAATGAGTGTCTTGGAGCAATTGGGAACTGCTGACTTCCAACCAGCAGCAGCTATGTGGAGCAGGGATTGCAATGAGTGTCTTGGAGCAAGAGCTGTAAGGATAAGTTTGATCCTTAAAACAATATGTTGGTAGCTTACTTCCAGGGGACCATTCTCAATCCTTTATCTCAGTGGTTCTCAAACTTGGGTAACCCAGATGTTCTTGGACTGCAGTTCCCAGAAGCCTTCACCTAAAGCTGTGGTGGCCAGGGTTTCCAGGAGCTGCAGTTCAAGAACAGCTGGGCTAGCCAAAGTTGGGAACCACTACTTTATCTAATCAAGAACTTTCCAGGGGAAAGAGCTGCATAGTTTTCTTTACACTGTTGCATGGCTTAAAGATGGTAGGTACAGTGGTGCCTCGCTTGACGATGTTAATTCGTTCCAGCGAAATCGCTGTAGAGCGAAAACATCGTCGAACGAAATTAAAAAACCCATTGAAATGCATTGAAACCTGGTTAATGCGTTCCAATGGGCTGAATACCTGCTCGTCCAGTGAAGATCCTCCATAGAGCGGCCATTTTCGGTGCCTGTAAAGCAAGGAATCTGTCCTAGAAAACAGCAGGGGGGGCATTTTTTTCAGCCAGTGGCCATTTTGAAACCCAACGATCAGCTGTTTGCTGATCGTCGTAAAGTGAAAAATTGGTTCCCAAAACAGGGAACCAATCAACATGAAGCGAAATTCCCCCATTTAAAACATTGTTTTGCGATTGCAAAAGCACTCACAAAAACGTTGATGTAATGCGGATTCATCGTAGAGTGGGGTAATTATCCAGCATGGCACGACTGTACCTCAACTGTACGTGTGTACTTCATGCCTAATGAGGGTTGCTTCTCGACTCTACATGTGTACTTCATGCCTAATGAGGGTTGCTTAGAAGCAAGGCCTGCTAACCTGTGGGCTTACTCCCTCGAATGAATGCAGAGAATGTCTGTTTTGGAGCCTCACATGTGCTTCTCACAGGAGTGGAATGCGGAAGATGTCCTCTTGATCTGGAGAACGAGGAGGAGGATTGGCAGCTTGGAATGTTCTCAAGAATTATCGGAGGGAAGCCCTCTTTGCCTGGGGCACGGCCATGGCAGGTCTGTGCTAAGAGTACGTTGGTCTGAGCTAGAGTTAGGCATAAATGGCCCCAAATGTGTAGTCAGCCCAGCCGTCACAAGCCATTTGGTGACGCTTTCTAAAATATACCTTCTTATGTACCACATTGATTGAAGCTAATAGTACAGTAGGACTCTTATCCGCAGGATCCGTATCCACTGATTCACTTATCCACAGTCTGAAAATATCAAAAATATTAAAAGAAAAATCTCCCCCAAAATTTTTAACAATGAAGTTACAAGAGCTGGCCACTAGAGGGAGCCAGATACCTTGCTATGTACAGCATTTGCGTATTATAATAGCGTTTGCTATAATCCGCATTTTTCAGCATCTGCCAGGGCAACTGATTCCCCATAGATATAGAAGTTGTACGGTACAGAAAGCTTATATGAAAAATATTAAGTATAAATGTAAAGATTGGAATGTTCACAGTTATCATCATACATGGCAAGAATAAATCACACATTTATATTGTGGACTACAGTTGATAAATGGACTGAAAAATAAGAAATTCAAATTTTAAAATTACTGATGATTGATTGAAATGGTAAGACATTTTGCGCTGATTGTGCTGCTCCAGTCCTGATGCCATTAGATTACGATTCCCATCATCCCTTACTATGGGCCAGCACTGTTGGAGGCCCCAACGTTTCCCACCTCCAGTTTACAACTTCCCAACATTTTCTTCAAACTGGAGTGTTCCTAGTTTGCAGACCATGGGTATTTAAGACTGATCACTCTAAAAATTTAAGTCCTTATGTTGGTCTTTCAGTTTTGAGCACTTTTTGGAATAAATTCTTCCTGCAGCTGATCTGCAAATTATGAAAAAAAAATGTATTGTAATATAAACCCTTCAGATACAGTATTTGCAACTTCAGCATTAAAACTACTTTTTGCAATTTTCCCTCAGCTGAGAAACTCACTGTAGAAAGCTATTGCAGCGTAAATAGAACTCAAGTTGAGTATCTTTCTTGCTGACAAACTAGTTTTCTATAGACAGGGAATTGTTTCTGGAGTATTTGGTAAACAAAGGTCTTAATTCAAGAGATAATTTCATAATTGGCAACCAGTACTGCTAACAAAAAGCTGCAGTGAAAGTTGAGGATCAGAAGACAGAAAACAGGAAGTAGAGTACAAGAATGTGTACTCTTGCTACTATTTTTCAATTTTTTACTCCAAGAACATATTCAGAGAAGCATTTGAGAACCACTCTATGGAGAGCTTATCAATAACACCAAATACACAGATGGTACAGTTTGGGGCACCGGCAAAGGTGACTCAATAAAGTCATTGAAGTTGAAAAATGAATGCTTTTAAAAAAGCAAGTTTACAATTGTCAATAAAAAGCAAGCAGCTGAATTATCCAGTTAAAGATCCCAAATGAAAATGTACATGAAATGTGTATTTTCAGAATTAATCTGCAAACCTGAATGCTATCACAGTATCTTTTGCCTTCTCCAAATTTTACAATATACTTCTTGGTTTAGGGGGGAAAAACCCAGACGCAGGAATACTTAAATCAGGAAAACAATTTAAAGTAGGAGAGACAAAAAGTAGTCTATGGAAGCGAAACACTTGCAAAAAATGTGTTGCTTGTGGGCAAAATTGCATATTAATTTTCATGCACATGAAAAATGTATACAGAAGGAGATACTGTATGTGCTTCCATGCAGACTGAAACATAAATGTGCAAGTGATGGCTGAAATGAGGCAGAACAAGATGTATGGCTGATAAAATATAAATGTTATAGGAAGTGGAAGAAACAGGCGCATCTGTCTGTGCCAGGAGATACCAAAGAGGGTTTGGTCATTGGAAACCATTTAGAAGCTGGGAGCCCCACTGGCCCTAGATGGGTCAGCGGAAGCCCTTTCCTCCCTCCCTGGATTCCTAGTGGGGAGTACAGTTGATTCTGTACAAATGGGTTTTATTGCAACTGAAACAGGGGTGACAAATGACTGATTGTCTCTTCAGGGTTAGTTCCCTCCTCCCAAGTCACGCTCCAAGTCCTGTAAGCCACCATTTAACATCACCATGGGGTTACTGCCCAATCGTTCCTATTTTCAGTACCTCATGTGGGCCGAAACGGCAAGACCTGCCCTAAGGACGGTCGATCCACTGAGGGCAGCGAGGGCTGTCTCTTTCCCTGAGATAATGGGGCTGAGGAGAGGAGGTGTGGGTTGAGGTGCTCCTCGCTTTCCCCTTGGACCCTGGGATCTGCACTAATACTCCAGTACAAGGGTCTTCTTTGTAGACGTGTTCCCACTCTCTGGGAGGCTCGGGTTACTCAAGGGGGTCTTCCACGGCTTGGAAGCCCTTGTTTGGTTCTTCCAGGGTGTCTCACTGAGCCCCTTCTTTTTCAGCCTCCTCTACCAGGATGTCAGGTTACAAGTCCCCAGTCTGGACCCCTTGCTCCATCTTCTCCTTCTCCTCTCCTCCTCCCTTCCTGATAGCGTCTGAGGTTCTGTTGGTGCTTTGCAGTGGGAGTCCATGCCCGCTGGCCTTTTAGTAGCCTCACTTCTGTGGTCAATACTCCATAACAATAAAGAGGGCAAAAACTGACCTTGAAATAATGGAGCTTTCAAACAGCTAGACTGGCATATGATAATTATATAAAGCAGTTGTTGCTTTTACTGCAAAACCTGACTTCTGAATGCAGAGTCTGGAATATTTCTTTTAAAAGGCAACTTGTTGCACTACTCAAAGGCTTATTATCATTACCCTTATTCTATTGGGGAAAGTACCTTCTTGCATTAGATGCCATTAATTCATGCATAATAATTATAATAATTATTGCTGTCTACACCAAACCCAATGGAAAATGAAATTTGCTCTCTCTAGTGGCTAATTTTGATAGTGCATTTTAAAAATACTTGGGAAAATTTAAAATAATGATAATACTATCCAATGTCTTAAAAGTAACAATCTGGGTGCTTGTTACATTACTATTAAATGTTAACATAATTACTAGGAAAGTAACAAATACTAACAACTAGGTTACTTTTAAATTAATTACCTTCAAGCGTTTGGCTTTTGTTTTCTCCTTCCCACTCTTCTAAGCAGGTATCCATCAAGGTGGGCCGTTCCCACTTTTGTGGTGGGAGTCTGATCCATGATAATGTGGTGGTGACTGCAGCTCATTGTGTCACAGATTATGACTTGTGAGTAGTTAAACACATGTGTATAGGAATTCCTGGTGGCTTTATTTGTCCTACTAACTAAAGAGATTCAGAGTAAGCATGTTTAGCTGTTTGTCGGTAGTAAAGTGTTCCTGGGACCATGTTAAAGTGTGTCCCCCACATGTTTACAGCTTCACAGGGCTTGTACTTGGCAAACATTTGAGGAAGGATAACTCAGTGGTTTAGCTATCTGGCTGTGGAGCCTATGGTTGGGAGTTCTGTTCCCCCATTGTCCTTTCTGGAAGAAGGGCCAGCCTGTGTAGCTTTGGGCAAGCTGCACAATCCCAGGATGTCCGAAGAAGAGGAAATGGTCAGTCACTTCTGAATACTCTCAACCTAGAAAACCCTCAAAAGGGTCACCATAAGTTGTAACTGACTTGACAGTAAACAATTATTGTTCTATTCGTTATTATATATAATATATAACAATGTTAGAGTATATTTTAATATAATGTATTACAGTAAAGTCAACTCTGGGAAGTTCTTATAAAAGCATATTAGCACACATTCTTATGTGAATGCCATTCCTTTGCTTGCGGCCACAATTTGGTGGTCAAGCTCAAGGTTCAAACCCAGCATCTCCAGGAAGGGCTATGAAAGCTTCTTTCTGCCGTGCTGTGGTTTGCCCGCATTTCAATGCAGACCAATCATCCCCAATGTGGCATCATTCAGATGCCCTGTGCTGCAATCCTCAGGCTCTTTGGCTAGCAGGGTCCCTGTGGGGAAGGGTAGAGCTTGGAAAGAATGTGTTGGATTTAACATGTGAAATGTTAAAGTAGTTTGGTTATTGTTGTTTAGCATTTAAACTTTCAAATATCCTAGTTTGAAAGTAAAGAGTAAACACATTATTTGAAACGTTATTCTCTTTTTAAAAATGTTTTTATTAAAAGAATACAAAATGCACCTACTGCTACAGAAAAATTTTTTTTTGGAGTGACAATGAAATTTTGGAGTGAAAATGGATGGAATGAAGTGTAATGCTAGTCCTGAAGGTGATGGGTGCACATGGGTAACTGTACTGTTTTGTTTTGTATTTTATAGGGTTTTTTCTGTAGTAATAGGTCTATTTTGTATTCTTTTAATGAAACGTTATTCTCTAGAAGCATTAATTGGCCTGTCTTCCAGTTAATGGAAAACATACCCACGTCAAATTTAAGGCTGATGGGAACTGTAGTTCAGAGCATTCTGATTTGCCAACTTGGGTAGATCATACTAGATTAGATGGAGGGGCTTTTACTCAGCATAAAATAAGTACCTCTTTTGCTGTTCAAAGACATATCCAGTTACCATGAGAGAACAGAGAATGATCCTGACATGTGCAATTTATTTGTGATTCTGCATCTAAACATTTGCCATTGAAACTTCCTATTGCTCCACATCTCTCTCTCTCTCTCTCTCTCTCTCTCTCTCTCTCTCTCTCTCTCTCTCTCTCTCTCTCTCTCTCTCTCTCTCTCTCTCTCTCTCTCTCTCTCTCTCTCTCTCTCTCTCTCTCTCTCTCTCTCTCTCTCTCTCTCTCTCTCTCTCTCTCTCTCTCTCTCTCACACACACACACACACACAGAGAGAGATTCTTTTGCCCAAAATCACCACCACAGGACCCAAAAAAGAAAGCATCCCCAGAGGTCCACTTAACACAAACAATTAGGTGTTTGTTGACAACTTTTCTTTCATTGGCTTCCTGTTTCTTCTGGCAGGAAAGTTGTGCGAAATCTGATGGTCACTGTTGGGGAATACGACCTTGGAAGGATGGATGAAGGAGAGCAGAACATCCTAGTCTCAAGAATTGTTGTCCACCCTGAATTCAACAGATTTGGGTGTATGGATTCAGATATTGCACTCCTGTATCTGAAAGACAGAGTAAAATATGGTAAGATAAAGAAAATTTCACTAGTAGGATATATTATGGTTTTTCAAAGCGTAACATCTTTCTCCTCACTTAAACTTGCACTAGAGTTTCTGAGATTAAGATTTCTTTCTTTCTTTCTTTCTTTCTTTCTTTCTTTCTTTCTTTCTTTCTTTCTTTCTTTCTTTCTTTCTTTCTTTTACATAATACAGCATTCTTGGTGTGGCTTAAAGCTCACTTTCTTTCTTTCTTTCTTTCTTTCTTTCTTTCTTTCTTTCTTTCTTTCTTTCTTTTACATAATACAGCATTCTTGGTGTGGCTTAAAGCTCATCATTTTTTTCAAAAAAAGAAGTACAAGAAGTACAAATCCCTGAATACAAGGATGACTGTCTAATATAAATGAATAAATAAGAAGATAAAGAATATTTTCTAAGTGTTGCATGCCCCTTCTCATACACTCCCTCCCCCAAGCAGGGCATCATAAAAAGAAAGGGATGCTATATTGGAGTTTTCTCGTCTTGATTTTTTGTTGGACTACAACTCCCATCATCCCTAGCCAGCATGACTAATAGGCCTGCTCCTTACTATCCCCTCTGATTTGAAATACCACTTGATGGATACCACATTTTCTGTTAATTTGTGGTATAAGCAGTGCTTTATAGCAGCATTTCAAAGCAGAGAGGGTTCTGCTAGGTTCAGCTTTTCTTTTCACAATAGCATTGTGACACAAAATGTTTCCTTTTATGCAACTACTTGAGGTTTATCCAGCCCACGCAACCTCTTCTAGTAAAAACTGCCCTACTTCTTGGGGCCAAATTATACAAGTCATCAGCTTTGCAATTAGAAGTAGGGCTTCCTTAAGAAGTGAGAGACATTTGTTTATTTTACCACAAGGTTTCCACTGTTCTGCAAGTTGCAAATTAGCTATTTTTTTTAGTCTTTAGCTGTTAGTGTAAAATCAGGACTTCGTCTGCAGACTGAATATTTTTACAGTGAAAGGAAGATTTCATCAATAGTTGTTTGAAATATAATGAATATCTTGTTCATCATTTCTTCCTTTAAAAGGAAAGCATAGGAGTCTAGGAGTCTAGAGAGGTAACTGCTTATCACCTTCTAATTGTGAAGCTGGCATCTTGTGTGGTTTGGTCTTTGGCATAGATAATGAGGATCTTCCCACACACAATTACAACATTTAAAAATACATTTAAAAATGTTTAGCTTGCTTTCTCTCCCTTAGGACCAGACGTTCAACCAATCTGTCTTCCCCACAAAGAATATCTATTTGAAGCTGGGACCCTCTGCATTGTGAGTGGGTGGGGCAAGGTCTCGGAAGGTGAGTAAAAAGTTAGCACAGCATTGTGAGCAGAATTTGGAAAATGGCCACGCTTCCTGGGATATTCTGAGAGTTATTGTCCAAAAAAAGAGTAACATTTACTCTGGGGAAGATGTGACTCTCCAGATGATGGGCTATGGCTGCCATCCCCTTGACTATGGGCTGCACTAGCTGACATTGCAAAGTTCTGGTGCAGCAAAATACAGAGGTCACATATTTTTCACTTCTCAACTTACAGTTACAATTTCTAGAGGAAACTGGACATTTTATACTGACCATAATAAACAGAAATGCAAAATGTATAAATGCCCTCAAAATTAATGCTCAGGACACCCATTGCTTTAGTTCTTCCCAGTGGCTAAATTAAAACTCAGTTTGCCATGTCAAGTGGGGTTTTATGGACTACTAACTGGAATGATTCAGTTCAGATGAAACTTAAGCACCTAAGCTATGTTGTATTATTTTTTAGCTGATTGGAGAACGCTTCTGTTTGTGACTTGGTTCCTCTTTTCCGCAGCTGATGCCCTGTCAAATGTTCTGCAGGAAGTGGAGCTGCCAATTCTTGACAGCGGGACCTGCAGAGAGCTGCTGAAAGAGCTAAATGTGGCTACTAGGTGCAACAATGTGCTATGTGCTGGCTTTCCAGATGGTGGAAAGGATGCATGCAAGGTAGGGATTAAAGAGACAGGCCTTGGAAAAGTTAGGGTTTTGGACTATAACTCCCACAACTGCACAGTGAACAAGACCTTGGAAGAACCAACGGTAATGTCCTGTCTCTCATCACCATCACTAGAAAAGCTTCTCGGATAACAGAAAATGGGTAGAATAGTATGAGAGGAAGCAGTTCTCCCATTATCCCAGATGCTGTGCTCAACATTATAAAAATAGCATTTGAAGTGGTTGAGATGTCGGTATTCACATTTTAACAGCCACCCCTTTGCATACAAATGTCCATGGCTTGGCCAGTACCCAGTATTCTAAAAGCTTTAACTAGTGTCCCTGCAATGTGAGATGTTTTGCCCAGTTCTATTGTTGTAGATGCAATTCTATAAATGTGCACTCCTGGAATGCAAGCATCTGAAACAGTTTATTTTGTTTGCTATTGCTATTCCTTCTTTTCCCCAGTGAGCTCAGGACAAGCTTATATGGCTTTCCCTTCAGTTTATAAGCACAACAACTGTAAAGAGGTAGCTCAAGCCCAAAATTACCCAATGAGTTTCATGGCTTATTGGGGATTTGAACCTGGATCTCCCAAATCCCAGTTTGGCACTCTAACCACTGCACCATGCTGGCTCTTTTTACTTAACTAGTAAAATTTAACTCAGTAGTTGAGATGTGCAGTACAGTAGGATTTCACAGATCAGTATCCATGGTTTCACTTATCCACAGTCTGAAAATATGAAAAGCATTAAAAGAAAAAAGCCAGAAGAAACTATTTTAACATGTATTGCCAGAGTCAGTCATTGGGGGGAGCCAGAGATCATGCTTGGAATACTTCTTAGTGAAGGATACATAGCATGTTCTCTGGTGCCCTCTAGAGGCCAGTTCTGGTAATACGTGTGAAAATATTTTGTTCTGTTTTTTTTCCTTTTTACCATGCATGCTCACTGTTATCTGAGCATGCATGGTAAAACGGTTTTCTGTATCTGCAGGGGCTTGGAACCAATCCCAGTGCATATGGGGAATCCTACTGTACTTATTCTTTAAAGAATGGATATAAAGTTTGAATACTGAAGTTAAAATGAGAGCAGTGTTGGCTAGAAAGTAGAATATTGTAAGACATCAAATCACAAGATAGTGGTGTCAGAGAGTTACTGACTCCTTGGGCAATTCTTGGGATGCAGACAATGTTACAAACTCCTCACCTGTCCTTTTTTTGCACCAGGGGGATTCTGGAGGCCCACTAGCTTGTCGGAGAGATAGTGGCATCTGGACTCTGGTGGGCATCACATCCTGGGGCATTGGCTGTGCAAAAGGCTGGCACGCGGACAAGGAAAGCAGGAGCAGGAGAGGTTCCCCAGGCATCTTCTCTAAAGTAGATGAGTTCCTGGATTTCATTGCCCAAAATATAGTCACTGGTAAGTATAAGAACAACCTGCAATCTTTCTTTGACTCCTCCTCTTCCTCCTCAGGTGTGATAGGATTGGGTAGCTTTGTCTGGCGACCAGCTTAAAAAAATCTTTTCCTTTTCCTTTGCTGTTTACCTCTTACCAAAACCTCCAGTTCCTGGATCTTGCCTCTCCATTGCTCTTGGGTATGACCAAAGGCATGCTAGCAGTAGGAAGGCAGTGTGCTGGTATTCCATCTTTTTCTCTTTAACATATGTTCTGCAATATGAAGAAAGATGGGGATAAAAGCAGTAGAAAAACAAGTAAGGGTTGTGAATGGAGGAGATCATCATGAGATAGTATGGAATCATAAGGCAGGGAAGTAGCACAATAAAAGCCTTGTCTGGAATGACTACAAGAGGCAAAAATTGCACCAGATGTTAGAAAAACAAGGGTTGTGAATGGAGGACATCATCGTGAGATAGTATGGTAGCATAAGGCAGGGCAGTAGCACGATAAAAGCCTTGTCTGGAACGACTACAAGAGGCAAAAATTGCACCAGATGTGTGCCGACAGGACAGGCTTGGTTCTTAGTGGTTTCTTTTTGAGAGTGTTTCTTTTTTTAAAGCCATAAGGTGCCATTGCAGGTATAGTCTGGGGGTGTGCCATGCCCAGATTATGGGAAAGGAACTTGTTCAGACTACAGTTCCCAGAGTCCCCCAGCTGACCTGGCCATAGTGCTTGGAAGTTGTAGTTCAAGTAAATTACATACCAAGTGCTGGGTACCCATTCTTTGCTGCTTATTTGACTCATGGAGGTTCTTGTAATATATAATTCAATTATTCAAAAAAAACCCCCTCCAGTTTACGAATGTGGGAGATAGTGCTTCCTGTATCCATGAATCAAAATACCAAGGGATGACCAGATATTGCTGCACAATATTGTGCCCTCAACGCCAGCAGAGAAAAGGATGCCAAACTTTACATAGTAATTGCCACTCTGAATGTTGACGATACTAATGGCAGCAGTCAAGATGGTCTACATTGGATACCCTCTTATGATCAGTACTATTCACAAAAGGGACACCACACAAGGGAAAATTCCAGAACTGGATTCTTATTTTCATCAGTTAACCCCTTCTCACCCAAACATGAAACAATTGTCAGGGCAGTTTTTCAACAAGTATTAATTGCAGCACAGTCCACTTTCACTATAGGGACATGGTGGCACTGCGGGCTAAATCGCAGAAGCCTGTGCTGCAGGGTTAGAAGACCAGCAGTCATAAGATCGAATCCACGCAATGGAGTGAGCGCCCGTCGCTTGTCCCAGCTCCCGCCAACCTAGCGGTTCGAAAGCATGCAAATGCAAGTAGATAAATAGGGACCACCTCGGTGGGAAGGTAACAGCGTTCCGTGTCTAAGTCGCACTGGCCATGTTACCACGGAAGATTGTCTTCGGACAAAACACTGGCTCTATGGCTTGGAAATGGGGATGAGCACCGCCCCTTAGAGTCGAACACGACTGGACAAAAATTGTCAAGGGGAACCTTTACCTTTACCTTTACCACTTTCACTGGGAGGAACTCCTGAACAGACATGTCTAGAACTTAAGTGTGCTTTCTTGGCTTGCTAGGAAGACCTGTTTGTTAGAAGTACATTTGGCTCTGCCAACTAGTGGGAAGTAATCCCTGTAATCTTTCCTAAAATGAAATCTGGGTCCTAAACCAGACATGAAGTCCTTCCTCCCCATGGCCTAGGGTAATGCAGTATTGAAAATTTCTGATGGTAGCATACTCTACATGAGCCATTGTTTGTACTGATAAGAGACCAGCAGCTTCTTCTGTTCAGACGGCAGTGGCATATGCTTTTGATTCAACTGGAAGTCCAACTTTGTCCTGAAATAGTCTGAACGTGTAGGCTAAGACATTTGTGGCACTCCAGATGTTGCTGGACTTCAGCTCCTATCATCTTGCACCACTGGCAGGGGTTGGTAAGATCAATGAGAGTTGCATCCCACGAACCTCTCAGAAGCCACACATTCTCCATCTCCAACATACAATGTGGAACGTTGTGTTATATCTCAGTGTGTGTCTTGCATTCATGCAGAAGTGTGTCTCATATTGGTAGATGAAGAACTGGACTTCAGTACATAGAAAATGGATAAACTAGATGTGTTAATCTTCAAGCTGTTGCAAGATGCTCTTACTGATTTTGCGTCACCGGATTACAGACCAAATTGTAACTTACACACAGCTCATCATTAGAAGCTCATATCTATCCACATTCTAGAGACACTATTAAGGCAGATCCTCATATCTCAGCAATTGTACCTCCAAACAGAGCCTGTGATGACCAGTCAAGGCTTGCTACTTTGCAAATGCCAGGAGGTGTGGAAAATTCCAGCTGGGACAATGAGACATTTTCAGTGCAGAATAACACAAGGCTTGCTACTTTGCAAATGGCAGGAGGTGTGGAAAATTCCAACTGGGACAATGAGACATTTTCAGTGCAGAAAGAATTCCTTTTTCTGGTGGTGGGCTGTCTGTCACATTTACAGGACTAGCATGGCTACCTCTCCTGAACATTTATTGTTACTCTTCTTTCTCCCTCTTCTATCTTTGTCCAGAACCGATACCATTCGGCTGGTCTCCATCCAGGCCAGAAGACTGCGATTCCCATGGAATATCAGTGTTTGGAGAAAGTGGCCATGTTCAGCATCCTTCCCGAACTGAGGATCATTACCTTCAAAACAGGTTTGTGACATCATTCACGTTGCAGCATTTTGAATTTCTGGCAAAAATTCCTCATGCTATGCCGTGGGTCTAGCATGCCCCTTGTTTCCTCTCCCTGCTGTGTGGTCTTGAGGATGGTGATTTGGAGGAGGGACTGAACAACAAAGATGGATGGCATTTTTTTGCGAAAGGGTTTATGCTTATTAAGTACTGTACCCTAATTTACATGAGAAATGAGGGCTGTGGATTATTTTCAGTGTCCTCATTTTGTTTATTTTCTTCCAGTCTGTGTATCTGGAATATAACTGTGCCAGAGAACAACATAATACTTGTGCAGTTTATCAGAATTGACATAGAAGATCAAGTTAGGTGTGACCATGACTATGTGACTGTCTACTCAAGCAGGAGAGAGCTTGTTGGTAGGTGGAAACTGCCCTTCCTTTCCTGGCCTTCATCCAGGGAGCATACATGGCTCGCCCTCTCATGTTTCTCCTCACAACAGTCCTGTGAGGTGAGCTGGGGGGGGGAGACACTTATTGTTCCAAGAGTCCCCTTCCGAACGTAATATTTAAAGTCTTTTGCTTGCTTGCTTCCCATCTTCCTCAGATTATTCAAGGTATGGTACAAGGCTCTCCATCTTTTCTCTTTACTCTCACAAGTACCACACGAGGAAGTTCAGGCTGAGGGAAGGAGCGACTGGGTCAGGTCACTCGCCAAGTCTCATGACCTGGGCGTCTTAATTCTGGACCTCCAAAACTCTAGTCCAAGAATGGAATCCCTGTGGATCACTTCTGTTTCAGTTCCTAATTGGTCTCAGTTATAGAGAGATCCACTAGATTAGGGTGGGAATGCCCAGTGATCAGAAATATGAAAACTGTAGTCCGGAAACATCTGGAAGGGCACTAGGCCCCAATCTCTGCAGTATTTCATGCTGCTTTTATGTATGGACTGGCCTTACTAGGTCTGGTTCTGAGTACACTGAATGGGAGTTATCTGCTGTATTAATTCACATCCTCGACCCATTCTCTTTTTCTCCCCAGGTAAAATCTGTGGCAGCGTGTTGCCTTCCCCTCTGCTCGTAGAGTCTAACCAAGCGACTGTTACTTTTGTGTCTGACAGCAGCATTACTGGTAGGGGCTTTGAGTTCCTCTTCAGCGCTGTGCATAAAGCATCTGAAGCAGGTAATTCTGAAGTAAAATTGGGATTTAATTCCTTTGGGGTGCTTTCTGATTCGATCTTTCTCAGGCAGTCAACCCTGCCTCCTGAATGGCATTTTGTGGATGGATCCATAGACGTTCACCAGAGCTTGTGATTTATTTATTTATTTTGGACTTTGTAAATGAGCTTCCTTTCTTTTGTGACTGGTCGCCAGACGATAAGCACAAGCTTCATTTGCAAGTATGATTGTTCAGACATGAAGAGCTTCTGAAATCATGTCTTTGAAACACTGATCTAGTTTCAGTTTGTAAGTGCATGTTAACTGTAAGATATTGTTGGATCCTTAGCCATAACATTCTGTAATACACAACAGTTGTCTCTTATGGACACTTTGACATCCTTGCCACTGGGCATCTTAAATGATGTATTTGAAATTCTCTCCTCTCCCTTTCTAGGTTCTGGTTGTGGCAGTGTTGCTGTACTAACAGAAGAAGGGACATTTGACACAGCTAATTATCCTGGCTTATATCCCAGCAACACCAAATGTCATTGGCTCATTGAAGCCCCAGAGGAGCATGTCATAAAGGTAATAAATAAGACAATCACCTGGGGTCGAAGGGGGAATGCGATCTCAGCTTCCCAGAAACATCTGCATACATCAACTGTCTCAAAACTGAAACAACTTCATTCATTATTGAGCCAGTGATGCCATGTATTTGCTTGTTTGTTTGTTATTTTCTCCCCACTGGGGACCCAAGATGGCACAAAAACAAAACTGTACAATAATCACAGTTAGAAACACCATAAGAAACTAGAAATCAATTAAATCAATTGATTAAAAATCAATTAAACCACAATTAAACAAAAAAATGTATACAGTCTAAAAGTTTCTATTGTAGTTGTTTGCACTTATATCCTTCTTTTCCACTACTGAGCAGTGCTCAGAACAACGTACCCTAAAGCATAATAAAAATAGCAGGTTTTTCCCCTCAATTATAAAATCAGTATGTGGCTTGCTGTGGTTTAGTGGTTAATCTTGTGTGATTAATGGTGCACTGTCTTCCCTTTCAGTTTGAGTTTGAAGACTTTGCCGTTGAAATCAGCCAAGATTGTATTTATGATGCTGTTGTGATCTATGAAGACACAGAAGAGGAACACCAAATAGGTAGTAACCAGTCTGGTTGGATGGAGTATGCTGGGTATTTGAAAAAGGATTTTAAAAAGCACAAGGCTATAAACTTAAAAACAGTGATCATCATGTGAATCTCTCTCCCACTCACACATAGACACACACAAAACCACAAAGGCAAGAGATATGGGTAGCTCTCTGTTACTGTGTTGAAGCAAAAAACACAAATAATTTTTCAGTATTCTAGAGATTAACACATTTAGCTCGGCACAAGATACTGTACATGGACCACATTCCACTTCATCAATCACATGACGTGTGCTGTGGTTTTAAGGTGTCACAAGACTGTTTCTTGTGATATTACAGTATTATATCTTATTATCATTACGTGTCATCCTGTCATTTCTGACTTAGGGCAACCCTATGACTTTTTTGTTGTTTAGTCGTTTAGTCGTGTCCAACTCTTCGTGACCCCATGGACCAGAGCACGCCAGGCCCTCCTGTCCTCCACTGCCTCCCGGAGTTGGGTCAAATTCATGTTGGTCGCTTTGATGACACTGTCCAACCATCTCGTCCTCTGTTGTCCCCTTCTCCTCTTGCCTTCACACTTTCCTAACATCAAGGTCTTTTCCAGAGAGTCTTTTCTTATGAGACAGCCAAAGTGTTGGAGCCTCAGCTTCACAATCCAATGACTTAAGGACCTCCAAATTGTCGTAACATGAAGAGCCCTTCTCAGCTCTGACAAACTAAAGGTCGCAGCTCCCATGGCTTCCAAGGATCATTTGCAAGTCAGAAAAGCCGCAGGAAACACTGGTGATGTCATCACCCTACCACTGGCGAAGCTACAGCAGCAAGACTTCAGCCATCAGTTTGGCTTTCTAACAACTCTCCTTATTCATTATTTTTAGACCAGTGGCTCTGATACCTGAGTCTCCAGATATGGTTAACCACAGTCCCAGCATTGCCCACCTATGGCCATGCTGCTTAGAGCTGCTGAGAACTGTGGTCCCACTAGAGGGAGGAAGGACTGGTGATGGGTTTGCAAAATGAGTGGGAGGGTGCAATATTCATTTGGCAGAGAGATCCTCTGGAGAGAAAAGAAAGTGTAAGGGCAACGGTGGTGAGGAGAAGGGTGACCATGAGCGGACATGGGGGGGTTCATTAACAGCATCTTGCCCAAGGGTGTCCCCCCCCCGTCTTGCAACTGGGAACTGGTGTTGATACAGTTTGAGCTATTGTGGATTTAGAAAAGAACTGGGGCCCTTGAGAAGGGGCCCTACAGAGTAGAACATCTGATTTGTGATGGTAACACATTTTCTGCTTGTGTTTTTTTCCCCTTCAGCTCTTCTTTGCGGGTTCTCGATTCCTTCCCCTGTTTGGAGCTCTGGAAACATTATGTTAATACACTTCAAGAGCGACGAGGAGAACAATTTCAGAGGATTCAAGGCCAGATTTGAGTTTTTCCCATCAGGTTGGCATCCTTTCCCTTGTGCCAGGGCTCAAAAAGGACTTCTTAGAATCAGGCATTTCGAGAGAAAAATAATAATAATAACAATAACTGGTTCCTGTGCTGCTTGCCGCTTTGGGGGCAACTTTTTGGGCAGCTGCGTCCAACTTTGGGGGCAGCCTGGGGGAGCTGCAAAAATGTGGAGTGTGGGAACCACTCAGCAGTCCAAGGTAGGAGTAGAAAGTACTCAGGAGGGACAGGTGAATAGAGAGACTTCAAGCAGAAACAGATAAGACCTGCTTTTCAATGAAATAAAGAGCTTTCAGAAGAAACAACAGACATTTAATTCCTTTAACTCTCTGTGAGAAGGTTTGTCACACGTCAGGTTCCAAATTAGTTTGCTGCTGTTTGATAATTGGCCACAGAGAGGTTAGTACAGGATCCATCTGTGAGTTGATTACTTAGGCACAGAAGCTTTGAAGAAATGCATCTCTAGAGGGAAAATGTTTGATTACCTTATAACTGTGAAGCAGATGGCTTATCTTCTCTGCTCTTGGAGGTGACTAGGAAATGTCTCTGATGAAAACTGAAAATGAGGTTTATTTATTTCCTGCAGAAGCATCCAAAATTGAATTTGTAGGGCCTGCTGTCTTGCAGATGTCTGATCCAAAGAATATCCCTCTGGGTAAGGATGTTTTTGAAATAGTAATGTCTCCACAGTGGCACACAGAGTTTGGAGTTTTCGTGGTAATAAACCTGATGTTAAGGAGATGGATGGGGAAAGGCCACTGAAGACTGGCAAGGACAGTTTTGGTGCAGTTGAGCTTTTTGGAGTGTTTGCTATCTTGCATGTGAAGCTTCAAATGCTTCTTGTGTTCATTGTTTGCCACTGTAAATGTAAAGGCTATGCTGGCTATCATGCTTGTTTGCCTGTAGAGTCACTACACAGCCATTTTGCCAGTTGTCTGGTTCACTGCAGGAATGGTCCGGTTTTGCTCTTTTTGCTGGCAATCACACAGAGTAATTGCTGGCTCGAAGCAGCCTGCCCTAGAGCATTCTTACCTGCACCTTTCTGGGTCCTTGTCAGAGACTTCTACTTTTTTTGTAAGGATCCTCCATTTTGGTTTGTTTCCAGTGGGTACAATCACTGGGATCAAACCAAAGCAAACTTCCTGCTTCAGCTTCCCCATATCATTAGTGGTTTTAACGGACAGCTTAACTGCTTGTTGTGGGGTAACTGGGAAATTAAAAAATTCATTTTTCTGCTGGGGACCTGATGGAGGATTATATATTATTTAAATTATTTAAAACATGCAGCACTTCAGTGCTGCCCTATGTGGCTTAATATACAGTATATATATTAAGCTACGTAGGGCAGCACTAACGTGCTGCATGTTTTAAATAATTGTTTTTTATTCTGGGGGCTGGGGGTGCACGCGTAACCCACAAACCCTACAGGATTATTTCTAAAAGCTGTGACAAGTTGGTTTTTGCTTTATTGTAATGGACCCCTTACTCCTTTGACAAGCTGATGCATGATTGGACCTGTTCATCAACCTTTCACCAACCTGGATGCTGGTCCAGAAAGTGCTGAACTACAACTCCCATCTCACTGAGCCAATTTGGCCACGGGAGCTGTAATCCAGCACTTTCTGGATAGTATCTGGTTCTTGGCAGGAACATGGATGGTCATGCTGGCCTAGGGTAAGGAAATATATATTCCTTTCTTTGTCAAGCACCAGGTTGGGTAAAGGACTGGTCAGCAAATGTGTTGCAGAGTTTTGCATTTCAGGTTAAGTTCCACTAGTTGCCCAGCAGAAGTCCAGGCATTCACAGAACAGAATAGCTTCCCAGATTAGTTTACTTCTTTCTCGTTAACTGGCACTGAAAGTCTCCATAACTCACTCTGAGACACGAGTAGGAGAAAGAATAAAAGGTTCTATTACTTACAATTGAACAGATCAAACAGAAAACTGGCAAACATGACTGCTTTCAGCATAGACTTCAATTAGACTTAAAAGAAGGGAAAAGATCTGAGCAGAGAGATGGAGCTCTCTTTGAATTCAGAGTCAGAAGGGGATGATAGGTTACTGCTGCATAGATTGACCTCTCAAAGTCTTCTGTTGCTCCTGCAGCATAAGCCCTGTCTTGGAAACATTAAGACAAAGATGTACCCGTAGCACTGGGGCTTTTCTGGTCTTGCAGATGTTTGTGGAGTCCCTCCTTTTGGTCCCCAGTGGCCTTCTATGCATCTCCTTGGATCGGAAGAAGCTTGTCCGCACTGCTGGCCGTGGCATATCAGTTTACGCTTTCTGGGGGACCACCACTGTGGAGGTGTCCTCATCAGCTCTGCCTGGGTGCTCACAGCAGCTCATTGTCTGCTCATGTAAGTCGATCCATCGGGCAAACCCTCCTTTGCATTCTGCAGGCTCAGAGGAGTCTTTGAATGCATTAGATCTTGAACAGGAAAACTCAGGCTGTCTGTGATCTGCCTGAAGGCTCCGTCTGGTCCTCTGTACTTTATTTATATCCCACCTGTCTCTCAATGAAGACAACATGCTGCAACTAAAAATACATGTATTTTAAATCCAGTAAATTAAGGTACTGACACTAAAATATGGTTAAACTGAAAGAATGTTGAAAACAACATTAGTCAAAACAAGATAAAACCAATTTAGAATCCTTGATAAAAATAGCTGATAAAAATATGCTCCATCGTTCTACTAAGAAATACAGTCTTTCAAGGGCATTTAAGTCAACTTAAAAGGGAAGGTTTTCACTTACTAGTGGAAGAACTGTAAGGAGAGGGACAACCTAGCTTCATGAGGCAAGGAGTTCCAGGTTCCCTGTGCTTCCCCTGGCGACTGTGCCTGCTTCCCCGCAGCCCCATATTTTGATGGCTTCCTAACTTTTATACAACTTTTTCCTTCAGTTTTGAAAGGTCGAAATGCCTAAGAATTAGTTACCGTAACAAAGAACTTTAACATATGCCATTACCTCTAGCCACCTACGTTTGCCTTTGGTCCCATCCACCACTGGAATGTGGTCCTTCAAGAGCTGCTCTGAAACCAAATTTGATCCGTTTCCCAGCTTTGCCATAGCTAGTGTTAAGTTTAATTGCAGCTAAATGGCTGAGTTCAGAGTTCTCCAAGGCTGTAGAACGTTTTGGGTGACATCTGTGGCCTTACTTACATTATAGAGGAGAGATGAAAAGAATAAAGTATTAATGGAACCTGTACAAAACTATAGTACAAGAAAGCTAGCAATGAAGAAATATGGGTTTGTGTGCTTCAGTGAGGTACGCAGGCAGGGAGTGTTGCTACCTCTGAAGTGTCTCCCAAGACAGGCAGGTCTCAGCTGAGAAGCCAGACTGTCCACCAAGCATCAATTATGATGAGAAGCTTGCTACCTCTGAAGTGTCTCCCAAGCCAGGTGGGTCTCAGCTGAGAAGCCAGACTGTGTTCACCAAGCATCAATTATGATGAGAAGGAATAAACAGAAGTCCATACTGGACCGATTGTCACCCAGGTCAACAAGGTCATCAGGTGCTATAGCTCCTGGGCATCTGGTGACAAACGGGCTATAGGGCTCAGCAGACCCTGATGAGGAATCAGGACAGGCTGCTGAAAATCTACTGGAACAAGGTAAATTCAAAACCTGGAATCCCTCCAAAAGCTGAGAAATTGTGAAATGCTGTTACAAGGCAAATCCAACAGCCTGTGGTTTTCAAAAAAGAATGATGGAAATCTGGAAAAGGAAACACCCAAATAGTGACATAACTGAACAACCATTAATGGAACAGAGTTTTTGTGTGTGTTATGTAATACCAGTCAATGTTCATATAATTTTGATTAACTGTGCCTGGTATTTATTATTATTATTATTATTATTATTATTATTATTATTATTATTATTATTATTATTATTATTATTATTATTATTATTATTATTGATGATGATGATGATGATGATGATAGGTTCACTGTAGCACAGCTGTTGTTCTTTTCTAGATCAAATAATACATCGCATTGGACTCTTGTTGCTGGAGAACATGACAGGATACGGCCAGAACCTACTGAACAGGTAGAACAAAGAGATTTTGAAGGTGTGCTCTCTTTTGCTCCCTCCTTCAGAGCTCAGTTGGGAAAGCACATGCTTTGAAAGTCTCACATCCAATCCTGGGCATCTCCGTTTGAAGACGGGAAGCGTTCCTGTCTGAAGCTCTTGAGTGCTGCTGAGGTGAAGGGCAAGATGTCTCCCTGTGTGCAACATATACATTCCTTGTATTGCCAAGGAATGGCAAGTGGACTGGCAGTCAACAGGATAGCATCCTTCACAAAAATCTGAGGCTAATTTGGGGATCTAGGATGGGAACTTTGACATTGTGTTTGGTTCAGTCCTCCAGCCAGAGTGGGTCATTTCTGCCGCTTGGGGCAATTGTTTCATTCTTCCTAACAGTGGGGCTGGCTCTGATTGTGGTCGGGTGAGAATTATGCTCCAGCACTCTTGCAGGGTGAGGGGAACGTTGCCAGCTGCAGGGAAAGAAAAGTGTACAGGTGGCAGAGATTCCTGGGAAGGGACCTGAGTCTCTAGTAGGCAGGAGGGTGCCACAGAGCACAAATTGAGAGGGTGCCATCTGTCCTGTGCTTCCCTGTCCTGTGCTTCTCCTCTGGTGAGCTAAAACTGGGGCGGCCGTAGAGCCCAAGCGTGCTGTCACCTGCTTAACCATCCTCATTGCAACCCCCTGAAAATGCCCCCCAAAGCCTCCAGCATGTGCCAGCAGAGAAACAAGAGGAGTCAGCCTCTGCAGTTCCTGAATCAATGAACTCACTCTCCACACCATAGCAGCTTTTTTTTCTGGGGGGGATTATCAGGAAGACCAAGGCATTATGGGAAAGGTCATTTGTGTGTGGATGGGAAAATTTGGGCTTGTCTCCTCTTGTTTCTCTTGTGATGACATGCACAGGAGAGTTGTTTCCCCCAGGCTTGTCCCAGGTGCAAAAACAGCTACTTTACAGCTCTGTCTGTTTGGACCCCATTTAAGTCTTTGGAGAACAAGATTCCACCCTGCCCCTTAAGCACGGCTGATCAAGCACTACTAAAAGCTAATTGTTAGTGGGCCCAGTTCTGGCTCTGGAGAAACTGATTTGTGGATGTAGTCTCCAAAGTTATTTAAGTTGAGGCATTGGTCATATTAGTGCAACATTTCATGTTTTTAGTTCTTTCCATTTTGAAGCTATTTGGGGACAAATGTTCAAATCTATTTACAAAAAGAATGTTAGCAACCTTGTAGTTTGCCACAATGAAACTGGTGTTCTTTTTTTTAAAAAAAAGGTGGTTACTAAAAAGAAAAAGCTGGATACTGCTTCATTTTGTCAGTATGCATGATCTTGAATCTATTCCCTTGGTGCAGGTGAGAAGAATAAAAGCTATTGTAATGCACCAAGACTTTGACGTTGCAAGTTACGATTCTGATATTGCGTTGGTTCAGTTAGATGCCCCATTTTCCTACAATGCTGTGGTGAGACCAGTATGCTTGCCAAACTCCACCGAGCCATTGTCTTCCTCAGTACTTTGTACTGTCACCAGCTGGGGAAATAATCAAGAAGGTAAGCAGACTTTGTCTATTGAGTGGCCATATCATTGACAAGGTTCTTCTTCCACATGTTTGACGCTATGGGTCAAATCACACTTCAAGGGAAATGTCCATTTCTTGCCATTACAATGGTTTCCTCCAAGCAAACAATTCCTTCAAAGCTCCATGCCTGAGTGACTTGCTGGCCTATGAATTCAGGGAAATATAGTAAAAAAGACATTCTCCCCCAAAACTTCCTAAATCAAAAGCAAGAACTTTACCAGATTGATATAAACTAACCTTTTGAAATAACCATACATTGTTTCTGGAAGATAGGATTTTTGAAATATTAAATGTCACTATATAGTGTTAATCCCTCTAATGGTGGTTGTATAGTTTAAAATGTGTACACTTTTCTGTGTGTGCGGCTTTTGTTCTTTGCAAATTGTAAGGATTGTTTGCATGCTTCCATCCACTAACTGAACTGCACACATTCCACTATGCACAATTTTCAAATATGCACATTAACATCTGATTCACGTCTATTTTCAGTGGATTAAGGAAATACAAACAACAAAATCAAGCAGATTCTTCACACCTTCCCAACCTTAACTTTGTCACAGTGCTTATGCATGAAAACCAGGATCCTACTTTGTTCAAAACAGGACATAATGCATTGGGCAGATGACAATAAAATTGACGTATTTCAACTCATTCTGTTGAGTTGGCCAATACAGTACAGTATATTGATTGCTACAGCTAAGGGCAAAACTAGAGAAGAAAGTCAGCATGTAATTAGAAGCAGATTTCCTTCAATAGGACAAAGATGTATGTTTATCCTACTGTGAGTTTGCTCCATTCCTTATGTTGCGCATTGGCATGCTTTTGGTTTTGTCATTGGTCTTTGAAAGGTAAATATGATTGATTTGCACATCTGCAGCTCCCAAACCAGCAAGGATGACCCAAGGCAGACCAGTGGTTCCCAACCTTGGGTCCCCAGGTATTCTTGGACTAAAACTCCCAGAAGCCTTCACCATTTACTGAGCTGGCCAGGGTTTTTAATCCAAGAACCTCTAGGGACCCAAGGATTGGGACAACTGATTGTGAGATCATTAAAACAACAGATTCTAGACTGTCTCTTCAGTCCAGAGTTGTTTTACAGCAAACTGAACTACTTTTGTTTTGGCCTATTAGCTTGCCTCTAGGCCTAACCCAGGTCCGTTTTATGTCCTCAGTGACATATAACAAGATTTCCTCCACTTTCACTACTATAAACAAATATGCCTTAAAGTCGCTTTCTGTCAACTTCCTCATCCTGCAGATGAGGACCTTGCCAGCCGTTTACAGTGGACTCAAGTGCCCCTTCTTGACAATGACATCTGTGAGCAAAACTATTATCTTAACCACACTGGAGGTATCACTGTGAGGATGCTTTGTGCTGGCTTTGTATCTTCTGAAGGCCAAAATGCTTGCCAGGTGAGTTGTCATGAGCGCATGAGGAAATTCATTGGCATTGAGTTTAACTACAAATGTACAGTATCCATTTTGGAGCTCCTCATGCTGGCAACAAGAGGAACCGCATTTTGCCCTGGAAATCCACACATTTCCAAAGCTTTCGGAAAAGGAAAGAAACACCCACAAACCTATGCCTATGTTTGAACAATGAGCACCACTAAAACTGTGTATTTCAAAAATGTGCACATGCTTTGGTCAGCTATAAAATGGGTAAAAAAGGCTTACATTTGGAAGAAAAATTAGAAGGGTTGCTTCAGGGGGTAAAAGTGTCTTAAAGTATACAGGGAGAAAAGAAGACTCTTGCCAACGGAAGGGTGAGAACGCCAGTTGGGTTCTCAAAAGTGAAATAAAAATTGGGAGTGTTGACACCAGAAACAAAGCTTGGTAAACAGAGCAGTGGCCATGCTGAATGGGTGATCCAGAGGGTCCTAGTCCAAAAATATTAAAGCTTCTAGGCGTTCAGGATTGAGTTGCGTGAGAAAATAGGGGGTGAGGAGAAGATGTTTACAAAATTTCGGGATACATCTATACATTGAGTTATTCTTCTAGATTAGAAGCTGCAACTTAAAAAATAGGAATGTGAGGTTTAAAAAAGGAACATGCAAAATAGTTGCTGAAAATTAGAAAAAGCTCATGGACTTCAATAGAAGTCATCAATATTGTTTAAGAATGGCTTGACTGATCATTCTAAAAAGAGTGGCTTCTTCAAAGAGATAGAGGATAGGAAATATGTGGGTGAATCCCCAGTTTTTCCATCATGAATGTCAAGAGCAGTTCAATAGAAAGAAAGGTCCTTTTTTTGTTGGCAGTTCCTGTATTTGGAAACACCCTTCCCAGAGCTGTTCATTGAACATAATCTTTGTTATCTTTTAAGTGTTTGCAGAGTTTTGAATTTTGGTGAAGTTCCTCTAGCTGATCAGCAGAAATGCATAGATTCGCAGAGCAAAATAGCTTCAAACACCCTTGAATGGATCATCCCCTTTTCTCATTAACTGGCACTTACAGTCTCAATGGTTCACTCTGAGACATTAATAGTAGAAAGAATAAAAGATTTCATTGACTTAAAGTGATCAGAAAACAGCAAGCTAAAAACATGGCTGCTTTGAGCAATAGGCCCCATCAGACAGCGAGGGGAAAAGCACTGATCAGAGAGGCAGTGCTCTCTTTGAATTCAGAGGCATGAGGGAATTCTTAGTTACTGCTGGATAGACTGACAGTCACCCCAGCCCAGAAAGGTCCCTCCCACTCACACCTTCTCCAAGCAGCATGCGAGGTTGTAAAAAAACACCAGCATTAAGCACCAGCTGAAATCTATCCTATACATTGAAATACTGGAAAAACCTAACCTGTTTCGGTGTATATTCAGGGGGATTCAGGTGGCCCACTGGTGTGCCAAAATGAAGAGGGGGTATTTACACTTCATGGCATTTCCATTTGGGGTGCTGGCTGCATCAGACCAAAGAAACCCGGTGTCTATACAAGGGTGACCTTTTTCTTGGACTGGATCATGTCTAAAATGAAAGGTAAGCCCCAACTTGTATCTCCCTGACCCCATCTTGGGTACTAAATGCTATCTATTGCAAAGCTATGTTTTCTTAGAATATCTGAGCTAAATTGCTTGGGAACATTTGTAGAAATGGAACATAGTTTGTATGCTTAATCTGTAGGGTATTTAGCAAATTGTCTCCATTTGCTAAACCATTTTCTTCCCATCAGGGACCAAGAGGGGAAATGACATGAAATATCCCGATGATTTGAACCTGCAGCTAATCCACTGCAGAGATGTCATCCTTACAGATCAGGAAGGAATAATCCGGTCTCCAGGTTTTCCCTACACCTACTCGAATGTTAGCAGGTGGGAACAGGGCTTTCCTCTTGACAGAATATGTTGTCTGTTTCAGTCAGCGATAAGTCTGTCTTCCATATAGCCTTCCACATCCTAACTCTCGTTATATGCATTGGATTACAAATCTCATAAACGACAGCTGCTATAGGCCTGCTGGATGGGTATGATGGGAATGGTAATTGACAGTAGGAACCCTTATCTGTCAGATCAGTATCCACTGATTCACTTATCCACGGTCTGAAAATATTAAATTAAAAGAAAAATCCTAGAAAAAATATATTTGTGAAGATGAAGTTAACAAAATGGGCCACTAGTGAAGCCAGAGACCATGGTATGCATAAGGTTCACAAGAGAAATATATTTCCATGATGTCATTACTAGAACTGGCTACGAGGGGGAGCCAGAAACCATGCTATACATAGCATTTGCTATTAAAATAGTGTTCCATGTTTTTCAGCATCCATGGGTTTTTCAGCATCCACGGAGCTGATCCCCCATGGGTACAGGGACCCTAAGATATCACACCCCAACCTATGGAGCATGTCGGATAGGAAAGGCTGTCACACTGTATACCCATTATCTTGACAACAGAAGCATGTGTGTGAGTTGGGCACGTTTGTCTGTGTGGAGTGTTTCCTGCAGGAAGAAGACTTGTCAGGGATTTTCTTTCTTTCTACTCAGTCCTTCTAATTTGATTTGATGAGTTTTATTCTATTCCCAGCTTTTTTACTTAGACATGTTTTTAGAAATACTTTGTAACCCCCCTGGCATTTGTCATGCTGGAGGGTAAGGTTTTAAGTGTTTTAAAGGAAGGGAGGGAGGTAAGACAAAGGGAAGGGAAGGAGGTATGGTAGATGAGGAATCCCTCCCAGTTGCCTGCTTAATATTTAAATTGGAATGAACGTATCTCATTGTATTATATAAGTAACATTTTAAAAAAGTATCTTGAATTGTAATTTTAACAGAGGCAGACAATCCAAACATTTTTACTTGAATATAAGTCTTACTGAAATCAGTGTTGTGTTGTTCTGAAGAAATGTATCTATTGATTTAAAGCATTCCCCCCCCCTCCGCTTTGGATGGAAATGGTCCCAGAACAGTTTAAAGATCAATAGACAGAAGAGCATCTTGGTCCTCAGGCTTACAGCCTAAAAAGACCTGCTGCAAAATCGAGTGAGGGAAAATGCTTAGAGTTCATTTTAAATATAATGATGGGCTTTTATGGGATTGCTTATTGTGTGAGCCAGCGCTTCATCTCTCAGATGATCTCGCATTCTCTTTCTGCCCATATATAATAATATAAAATTCCTGGCACCAGCATTGATTTGTGCACATTTCAGCCTTATGCACAATGTCAATAGGATTTACATTCCTCTCTTTCTTCATCTGCATTCCCTTTCCTGTCAGCATGACTTCATTTTGTCTTGAGAATACAATTGTGTTCTCATTTTTGCAATATTAGGCATGGATTCATTTTCTCGTTTCTGGGATGTTTCAAATATAACAGCCTTCCATAATGTGGCATTGTCTGTCAGTGGTTCCCAAGCTTGGATTCACACATGTTCTTGGAAATCCTGACCAGCACAGATAATGGTGAAGGCTTCTGGGAGTTTTAGTCCAAGAACATCTGGGGACCCAAAGTTGGGTATCACTGGTCTAGATGCCTTGGATTATTGCACCCACCAGTCTTGACCAGCAGGACTAATAGGCAGGGAGGGTGGGAGCTCAACTCCAATCATACAACAAGATGTCTGTTGTCCCTCTGCTTGGAACCAGATCCTTGATTTGTAGAATGATTAAAAAGCCAAGGCAAAATTTTTCTGAGAGATTCTGGGAACAGCAGTACAGAAAGGTAATTTCTGTGGGCTCTAACCCACAGGAACAAACTATGTTTTATATTAACTAGAAGAGAAACCCTGAATCAGGTATACAAGGGTAAGAAAAGAGGATCTCATGGCACTGTTGCTTATTCTTCAATGATAAATTGATTTCTTTGATAAACTATGATTTATTAAGCCAAGTTTATTATGTCTGAACCAGTTTTAAGTTTAACTTTTTTGTTGCTTCTGTTCCAGATGTCACTGGAGGATAGTTGCTCCATTAAATGCCATCATTCAGCTGGATTTTTTGGACTTTGTGTTTGGAAAATCCGATTCCAAATGCCACGATGGCCTTACAATTTATGAAGGATTTGGACCTATGAAAGAAGTGCTTGGTGAGATATTTAATAATACAGTGATATGAATTTGTTTGTTTATGGAGGTCTTAAGGCAGTTTACAATCTATGAAAACTACACAGTAATCACAGTTTTAAAAACCATAAGATATAACATTAAAAAACAATTAACACACAAACATTAAATATTATATACATGAATATATGATAATTTAATTGTATATCATGTGGTTAAAAAACATGTCTCGTATGCAAAATCAAATGTACAATCAAGTTATCAGCTTCCAGCCAAATCTTGTGCTTTCAAGCTTTGATTAATGTAGACAAATTTTGTCAGAATCTGTTAACTGAAAAGTTCAAACAAGAGCTTAAAAGCCCTTTTGAGGTCTTTTTCAAGAGTGGTTGTTACTCCTTTTGCTTGCATATATAGTGCTGAGGCCATAGCTCTAAAAGACTCTTTTTATCCTTATCCCTACCCAACCTCCCAAAATACAGAAGTAAAAATTAAAAAAAAAAAAAACCCCCAAAAAACAAAAACCAAGCGATGATGATGATTGATAATTTCACTCAAAACATTAGATTTCTTTTTAGGTGAGTCTTTCTACTTTTTACATTTTTGCTGGTTCATACTCAATTGCTTTAGGCAGGCAGGTGATTTTCATGGGGCTCCTAGGGGAGGAAAGGAGGGAGGGAGCAGAGTGATTTGGATGGATGGTTGTGGTTTGTTCAGGAGAGTGTTACATTTGAACAATGGTCCATGGTTAATCCAGCACTGGAAAAAAAAACTCTGTGGTGCCCTCTTCCCTTGTTGATACCCTAAGTACATGTTTGTTTTGCTTAATTGTTAATCCAGGGCTGATCATCCCTGAAATGAATATTTCCAAGCTATGGGTGAGACTAGTTAACTCTTGATGCTAGAACTTATAAGAGCGGTGGGCATTGTTTAACCTGCAAGATGCATGCAGAAGTGTTTTTGCAGTACTGTATTATTTTGGGTCCCCCGGCCCCACCCGCTAGAATTTTAAAAAATGAAAAATAGGAAGCAATTTTACCATCTTTTGAAGTTCCTTAGCATCCCTGGCAGCAGCAAATATTCAACTTATAGCAAAGTTGACCGGTAGGTAGTGCAAAGAAGCAGTTTAAAAAACATTTTCTTAAACTGCAAAATATTTGCAATCATTTTGCAGTTTAAGAAACCACATTGAAGCAAACATTTTCTAAAAATGAAAAAGATTAAATATGTAAATTACTTCCTTTGGCCATGCCTTTCACCCCTGAGGACCTGCCCTTTGGGAGTGTGGCCCACAGGTTGCTGTCAAATTTGAAAAATGTTCTTCTGCCCTACAGAAATTTCCCACATTTGGTTTAAATTATCATAGTGATCCTTTCCTAAATGTGGCCCCATTTCTGTTTTTTTCCATCTCTCAGAGGACTTCTGCCTGTCAGTTCTGTTCCCTTACCTGGAGGGCCTTCATTAAGAACATGTTTATTCTTTCAGCCCTTTGACCTTTAAGATCATGACATTTAGTCAATGGCTAAGTTGGCTACGTTTTTCTTACATTGTAATGTTTTATGGCCTAAATGATATTTTTGAGCTTTCGTGATTATTCTTTTCATTCTTAGCCATGTTTTGAAATATTGCTGTCGAAAGTCAAGAGCACAAATACATAAAATTTTGTCTTTTAACTGAAAACAGTGCAGTGCTAGCTAGAAGAATGCTGAAGTAATCGTTTTTCTGCATTACCCTTGGTTTTTATGGTGAAGGCTATGCTTAGTTTTTAAAACTAAAACAAATGGGGGGGGGGAATGTCATAGAAATAAGCTTCAATCTTACAGCAGTTCTGTGAAATACTGATCTGCACTCAACTGCCTCTATCTTTATAATGGAGATCTCCAGATGTTGTTGAATTTCAGTTCCTATCAGTGCTAGCCAGGATATCCAGTGGTTAAGACAATGTTAAATGTAGACCAACAGTATACAAAAGATAACAGGTTCTTCACCCTTTATTTATGTGATCAGAAGTAGGTAATCTTTGCTTACTTAGCTCTTCCAGGTAAGAGTGGAAAACCATTATTACAGGTAAAACTAAAAAAAAATCAAAAATATTGTGTGTATGTGTGTGTGTAATTCTGTACTTTTTTGACAAAAAAATATTGGGGGATGTATTTTTCCATCAAAACATCTTGCTGTTCACCCATGGAACCTTCAGTGTCACCCAATTTTTTTTTTAAATAAAGCAAAACCCATAGTTTTGTTGAAAATAGGGTTGCTGTTTTTTCCCCACTCTTGTTTAAGGGCAAAGGATTGTACAGCAGTTGTTGGTTTGTCAACGGGTGGTGGTGGTGGTGGAATCAATTGACCGTAATTAATAAATAAATAATAACAGCATTGGAAGAGACACCCTTCTGTATCCAGACTAAGAACCTTTGTGAGCATTCTTTACATTATTAGCATCATGAGAAGAGCTGTGGCCTTGATACTGTGTGGAGCTGGCACCTTAGCCTTGTGTTGTTCCCCTTATCTTAGACTCCCAGAGTACCTGGTACATTAATGCCCTGGTAGCATCCATTTCACACACACCAACACTTTGTATGGGAGTCATTTCAGCCAAAATCAATTAGATTTGTTCCCAGGTAACATCCCCAGGATTACTCTGTTAATGGGGCTAATGTTGTCATGAGGCAACATTAGGGAGCAGCCTCAGGCAACAGATTTTAGGTGTATCACAACAAGGCAGCAAATTGTGATTTACTTAGTTATTATTGTTGCATTTTTACTATCTGGGAAGTGAGGAGAAGGAATTGTTGAACTTTCCTCACATAAGCTAAAAGAACTTGATCGGTTTCAAGCGTTACGGGGTTGGGGGAGAGGGGTATGCCATTTTGCCCCATCCCAGGAAACAAAATGCTTTTGGCCAGCCTTGACTCTCTGCTTTGGTCTCTTGAGTGTGTATATTTATTCATGATAATGTGATTTTAAGAGGCCACTTTTAATGACAGAACATTCCAGCATGCCAAAATTGGGAGCAGTGTATCCCTCCGGGAAAGATGGTATAAATGAAGTGACTGAACTGTGAAATGGCCCTTTTTATCTCTACCCATTTGTCAGGTAACTACTGCAAGGAACCTCCACAATATCCTTTAAAGTCTGGAGGCTCTGTGGTGACCCTGACTTTTTCTTCTGATGAGGGTACAAGTGTGAAAGGTTTTCTCCTTGCCTACAGATTTCATCAGGTCCGGCACAGTACGTACAATATTTTTGCAGGAGGTTTGGGGGAGGTGGCATTCAAATGTAGCAGGGAGGACTAAATGGGGGAAAATGGGTGTTTTTATAGATACGCAGCATGAGATTCTGTGTTTACTACAATTGTAGCTATTTCGGTTACATTTATTTGAGTTCATTTATAGCAGGGCACTGAATACTTCATGCAAAAGATGGTGGATATTATTGTGGGTAGGTTACTGTGACAAATGTTGTGGTATTCTAAAATTTGCATGGAATCCCAGCGGTTAGCCTGCTCATGTGGTGAAGCAGATGTGCAGACATCTTGCTCACATTATAACATATCCTTTGGAGAGGATTTTAAATCATTTAAAAAAATTAATATGATGGCACAGATGTGTGAAAGCCAATTTTCTGCTACTATGGTTTCTCTTTTTTTAAATTGCCATGTGGGAGAAGACTGGAATCTCAAAGTTTACTCCAAGCCTTTATGTCTGTATGTTGGACCACTGAAAACTTCTTAATTATCTCAAAAATGTATCTAATTATCTGAACATATTTTTCTCCCTCTCCTATAAGGTCTCACAGAAGGTAGAATAAAAGATGCTGGTAAAGGTATGAGTAACTTGGTGCCTCTTTTAACATGTGGAAATTGGGGGAAAGAAGATTTAATTCTATATACCTTTACTTGAAAATACTGCCCATTAAATTCAATTTGTCTGATGTCTGAGTAGACATGGACAACAAGAGGATGATGATGGTGATGATTACCATCAAGTCAGTTCTGACTTTAGGAGATTCTTTCCAGGACTTTCCAGGTAGAGATTCGCCAGACGTTGTTAACTGTTCTCTTTTTCTTGGGACGCCCTGGGCTATACAGGTTGCCCAAAGCTACACAGACTGGCTTTACTCCCAGAAGGCACAGTAGGGAATCAAACTCCAAATCTCTGGCTCCACAGCCAGACACCTAATTCACTGAGCTACCAAGGCAGCATGGAGACAATAATAGCAGGAGATCATCAATATGTATATAATTTTCTAGGAATCCAAGAAAACAGTCTTTTGCATGTCTCTGCAAATGTGTTCAACAGGACATCCTAATAGAGGTGTATAGAACCGCAATCTACATAGGGCTTAGCTTTACAGTGTTCTTCATTTCCCGAGACACACTTGGATCAAAGCAAGAACTGCCTGCTCCTTTAATGTTTCTTTGTCCAGATTTCCTAATTTTTTTCCTGTAGACTATCATGTGCAATCAGCAAATTGCGTCACCTTCATTCAGCAAGTGATCATGCTGAGCTGGGGAGGGCCAAACTACCTGCTGTGTAAATTGCATCCTTTGCGTTTTAGCATCCTTTTTTGTTCTACTCAAAGCAAGAACTTGAAAACGTTTCTAAATTACAACATTTAAAAAAAAACCCTCTGCTAACAAGGCCGGTGTTGCCTGGGAGTCCTGGAAGGTTGATTTGAGAAACTAACTCTCCAGCTTTGCTGCCTTGGGTCAGAATTGGGTCACGTGCAGTGGTCAGGAGGGCAGCCAGAATTAATTATACAAGGGGATCAGGACCAAACAGCAACCTGAGTGACAAAGACCTGCCAAAGGGTGGAAGACCTAGTCTTGTTTGAGTTTGGAAGCAAAGCAAGGGGTCTGACCTGGTTAGGGTTGCCAGATACATGGGTACCAAAAGGAGGACATAGAAAGTCAAAAAAGAGGACAGAGGAGGATATACTGAATGTTTCATTTGAATTGTTCCAAATTATACCCGCAATTAATACAATTTTATTACAATAGCTGCTAATAAATGTCTCATAGTGAACCGACCAAGGAAACAGTCATGTTAAAAAATAAAAATAAATTCAATGGAGGTTTTTTTTTTCAAAATACCAAAAAACATTATTTAAACAGCCAATTGCACCCAAAGCCACCCTGGCCTGGCTGCGGGATCCCCCGCCCGCTCACACTCTGCACAGGCTCAGAGGCAACCTTGCTGATCTGGATGCCCAAACAAGGCTCCGGCGCAGGCAGGGGGAAAGCGGCGTCGGGCAAAACTGAAGAAGGCAGCCTCCCCTCCCTCGAGGGTCATAAGTTCAAGGCTGGGTAGTGTGGGAGTTGGAGTCCCCAAAAGGGACATTGAACACACACAGTCCGGGCGCTCATCTTTCCATCAATGCGCTCAGATGCTGCTTGCTCCTGGGCGCTCATCTTTCCATCAATGTGCTCAGGTGCTGCTTGCTCCTGCCTGGCTCGGCGGGTGGCGCTCTGCTCATGCTGCCTTTCTGGGCTCCATGTGGGCTGTGCGGGCATGGCAGATTGCTGAGCAGCCACCACCATGGCAGGAGGGACGAGGGCTGTGCTCTGGCACCAGGTAACGGTGGGTGGGCAGACATGTGGGAGTGGGGAAGACGGGAAGGGGGGGTCCTTCCATTGTCCCGTTCCCATCCAAAATTATAACATAAAATATACAAAAGCCGGACATGTTAAAGGTTTTTATCTCTGCCTGCCAGATGGAGGACATTAAGCTGAAAAGGAGGACATGTCCTCCTTTTGCAGGATGTCTGGCAACCCTAGACCTGGTTGATGTCTGGATTGGGGGACCATCCAGAACTATCAGGGACATTTGGGTAAGGCTAGAAAAGACTCTGGCTTTAACCTTTGGACGACCTTTGGGTTGGGCAGAGTTTAACAATGCAATTAAAGATTTAACACAGTATAAGGCTGATTTTTGTGCTCCTGTGTTTGTAGCTCAGGCAAAATCTCAGCCCATGCACTGAAACCTTTTATAGCCCTTCCTGTCAAGAAGGACCCATTGGTCTTCCTGAATAAGGTTCAAGATCAGTCGAGATTGCCTAGTTATATTTTTATACCACAAGATGTTACGAAATGCAGCTCCAGCAGCTTACCACACAGGGTGACTCACAGAGCTGGTTCTAGCACAGTTATTTCCTTGGACACCATGGAGGAAATATGGCATTATGTCTTCTTCCATGAGGGCAAAAAAGCACCATAGGTGAGGAGAGTTTTGAACAGAGAAATGATTGGAAGGATATGAGTTAAGCATTCTCCTGCTGTTCTCCGGGTATGCCTCCATTTATATTCAAAAATGTTCAACGATATTATTTTACTTGCTGTTTTTAAAAAGCACTGTCAAGGGATTCAAAGATAATCCTAAAGAATACCGTCTTCTTCTCCTTATCTTTAAGGATGTCCCATTTTAGATTTGATCCCACTAGGAGTGGCTGAGATTGTTTCTCCAAACTATCCTGACAATTACCCAGATTTCCTGACGTGCACTTGGATCGTCTATTCTGCCTCAGGAAACAAGGTGAAGAGTGTGATCAAAGATCTGGTGATAGAGGACACCAGAGATTGCATCTGGGACTCCCTGAGTTTTTACGATGGACCAGATGAACAGTCAGAATTGCTTGGTATGTTGTCCTGTATCTTCCCAATTAGCCTATTACATAGCAAGTAAATTGGGCTCCTTCAATCTGCCTGGGCTGGGATAATTTTGAACTAGGAAGAAATCTCTGAGCAAGCTCTGAGACCTTAAAGATGCAAAGCTGGTGTGTAACAATAAACCTTGAAATGCAGGCTCTCGTCATGATGTTCAGTCCCCACAAACACACGGCCAAGAAATGCAACGATGCAGGCAGCTCTGTTAATCCGAACCAGTTCTATGAGGTGTTTTTTTTGTTTCTCATAGGAGCAGGTCTTTTGTCAGGCTAATTGGTTTCAACTCCCCATGCAAGACCAGACCACCCACAAATACTCTGCATTATGACAAAGCTACGTAGCTTGTCACTATATAGTTGTGTGGATGTCTCCCATTCCCTTTTATGACTGCTTAGAAAGTTAGAAGGAGGTAGGAGGTGGCATTAGCCCTGCTAATCAGAAAGCTTGGTGATTTAACCGAGCATACCCTTATTCCACTACCCTATGTAGCCTATATTTATGTGTTTCAAACACAGGGCAGTGAAAAAAGTCTAAAGCTTTTTTTGATTTGGATTAATGGTTCATGGTATCCTACCATAGTAATAAAGGAACAGGGCTTGTGGGGAGGGGGAATAACATTTAGGGACTATTTGTAGAATCCTTCAGCCAGCTTTCTCCCAGCACCCAGGGAGTTGTAGTCCAAATAAATCACTTTTCCAGGATCCTCAAAAGGGTGCAGGAAGTGTCCAGCAATCTCCTTCCCATCCCGAGGCTTCTTTGGACTTCTCCCCATTACTGCAAGTAGAAACACTTCCCCATTGCATGTCTCTCCGTCTGTGTGGTGACTTGCAGGTCAGTTCTGTGGCCAAAGAAAGGATCTTAAGCTATTTTCAAGTGGCAGCTACTTGACGGTGCGTTTCCGGACAGATGGCTCGGTTGGGGCCAGGGGCTTCCAGGTCTTCTTTGAAGAAGTGGATCACAGACCAGCACAGAGAAGCGAGAATGGAATAGAACTCAAGGATCTGTGTAAGTCAAAGCTGTACATGTGCTCTTTCTTCCGTAGAACCCACATTCTTTCTGTAAGTTCTCTGTTCATTAGTGCAAGTTTGCAGTACAACATTTCTGGCAGTGAAAGATTGGTCAGCTACATGCTCTTGTCCAGAGCACACCCCAGTGTCCTCACACTGCTTTCTCACTCTTCAAGAAGGCTCCTTCTATTGCCCCTGTATTAGCTATGCATATATTTAAATGATTCATGGGCAGCCTTTTAGAGTATCATCCTCACAAGGTGATATGTACAACGAGGCAGATAAAAATAGGTCACATTCTGAAACATCCAGTGGGTGTTCTTTAGTTCCTGCTGCCGAATGGTAGTGTGACAATATTTCAATCTTGGTTTGTCATCCAAATTATGCGCATGCTCACCCAGCACAGGCGCACCCCTGGCTAAGGTGTTGTTTTACCCATTGGAAAGAAAGAGACAACGTGTCAGAAGACTAACTATACATTGTACTGGTATTTATTTATTTATTTGTTTATTTATTTATTTATTTATTTATTTATTTATTT